ACAAAATAAAGCTAAGGTGGAACAACATACTTGCTTTGAAAATAACCCACAACTGTTACTGGTTTGCCTTTTCAAACCCGAAATGTTTACATCTCTGCACGTTCAACTGTCAGAACAATAAATTAGCTTCCCTTGTGCGCCCATGACTGCTGCCTCTGCACGCTGCAGAAGCAGTGGATGCTCTGCTGCAGCTGCCTCCCCTGAATCAGCAATTTTCATCCATGCTCCAGAGCTGCCAGTTTGTAAGAGGCATCAGGACATGAAGAGAGGAGGCTCATGAGAACTTGGCACGCTGTACAGGGCTGGAATATACTAGCCAGATATTAAGAAGCAGCTACAAGTATGATTTGCAGTGGGCGTACAAACCTTTAATGGATGGATCTCATCTACATACATGGAAGTCCACAGTGAACCTTAGGTGCAGCCAACAATTTTTATTCTTTTTTAGTGACTGATCAAAACCCCAAACCAGGATAGAAGAAAACCTTCACAAACAGGCCCGTGTAACCCCTCGACACTCTTTTTCTTAAAATAAGGTCTCCCCTAATGAGGGTCGAAAGCCAACTTCTTCCCTCTTCAAGACCTTCTCTTAGGAAAATCTTTCATGTATACCCCAACGCGATGAAGTTATGATATGAAGCCCCTTTCAATTGCATTAGATTCATCTCCTATATGTGCCTGTGAGAAAAGGTAATTCTGGTTCAAATCCTGTTTTATCACCTACTGGTTTCTTTACCAACCCCCAGCTCTGACTACAAGGCTAAAGAGCCCTCACTACCGGTGCAGGTGAGGGCTCACAGTCCCTCACATCACCATCCGTGTATGAACCCGTGTCACGAAAAGTGCAGGAAAGCTCTAACGTGCACCCAGGGATCAGGATGTGACACAGAGACGCTACCAGCGCCCCGGATCACTCAAACAACCTTCCTCTAATTGCTTTGAGTTTTCATATCCAAAAAGGTTCGGTGGGACCACAGAAGGTACAAAACAACCAGCTGGTCATATGGAAAACTAAATTTTGAATTCATACTGTTTCATCTGCATGCTGATATGTGCCCTGTGTAGAGTAAAGCAGATTTATTTATAAACACTAAGCAGCGTTTTCTGACAAGACTGGAAGTTGTCCTTTACTGTTCAAATTCTCTCCTGTATCCACCTTACTCCATCTCCAGTCCCAGCAACTCAGGAAATTTATTCTGGGTATCTTCAAAGGCTGTTCAAACACCAATTAATTTCCCATCAAATAACTTGTTTCAGAGATTGCACGAGGTCAAGGCTCATCAGCATGGGATTTGAAAACAAACTCTCTATGTCCACTCCCAGCATGAGGTGGTACTCAGAAAAGACCAGTGAGAGATGGTTCTCCCCAGCAGCTGCAGCTGCCACGCCGCTGCACTCCAGTGACCGTGGGGTCTCCTCGGGCTACAGTGCTTCCCAAGCAGCAGGGGGAATAAAGACACTGCCCTGAGTTCACGCTTCAGTGTACATGCACGACCCATTTCCCCCAACTTTGAGTCCTTCGAACAAGCGGGACACGCAGCAGCTATTAGAAGACGCCAGATTTTTCAAGATATGCCACGTGGCACGCAGCTTTTGAGCAGGTTTTTAAAACCCAAAGGACGGTGCAAAGAACAGAGGAAGGGGACAGAGCTCAGTCTGCTGAAATGGGCCAAGTCATCTCCAGTAAGACTGAAGGTTGATAGCCAAACAGAAAAAGGTACTCACAAATAATAAAAAAAAGAAACAAAATCACATTTTCATTCGAATGGTATACTAGGTAAGCCTAGCTCTAACCTAGGTGCTCCTAAATTGTACAAAAATAACGAACTGCACCCCTTGAAAACGCTACCGATTTCCTTTTTTCTTCTCAACCTCACTCCACAGGCAAGTGACCTCAGGCTAAACTCCATCTTATCAGAGCTTTTTTTGCCCAGCCCCACCATAACTGGCAATTTTCACATGTAGATACCGAGTAAGAAACAAAACCACCATTACTGCACAGCAATTTTAATGATTCAAAGCAGCATCTTTCAGTCTGTAGCTCTTAATTACTTGACTTTCAAGTGTAGATTCACGAGGACAACACAGCAGCACGAACCAGCCACAGCATACAGGAAGACTGATCTTTACATTTGACTTACAGGTACAAGGGACGATTGCCATACAGCTCACATGGAGCTTGTTTCTGGGTTCCCAAGCTCCCTGCACTTTAAGGACTCCTCCCACACTCTCTGCTTCAATCCCCACGCAGATTCTGGGGCCATAACACTAATGATGGACCTTTCAAGCCCCTGTGGCCATATCCACATGGAGGATGAAGAACTTCAGCAGTAGAGGGAACTGAGCCAGGTTAAGCTACTATAAGAATTTCTGACCCATTCAGTTTTTCCCATGGCATTTATTCACTGGTGCAACTGTGTAGTCTACCTTGAAATAAATGACACTCGGCCTCCCAAGAGTTAACGATGGATCACAATCATAAAAGTCATAAAGACTTGCTACGTTGAAGTCTAAGCATGGTCCTTCAAAATGGATCATGTGAAGCAATGCTGCGTGAAGGTCTCGGTAGGAAGCAGGAGGAAAGGCTAAAGACCTTACCTGAAAATTTCAAAACGGATTTTTACTCAAAATACTCAGAGAATGTGCAATTTAAAAGTTAAATAGAGTTTGGATGTCTTCTTTGCACTAGGACGAAATTTAAGAGAAATAGTTCAAGCAGTCCTGTCCTTACAAAACAATCTTCTCTTGCCTAAGCACCATTTCTCTTGGCTATGATTCTCCCTTGGGCCTTTGCTGACCGAATAAAGTATCTCCAGGTTCAGTGTGCCCGCAGTGACACCGACAGGAGAAGAGAAATGCAAGGGCCTTACTATAATTTCTGTCTTGGACAACTCAACTTACTCCAAGATGTTGCTCTTCCTTATTCCAACTTCTTCCTTCCCCCTCTTTGATGTTAAAAAAAAAAAAATAAATCCCTTATTTGCCTGAAGAGCGTTCATTGACTTTACCCAATTTCCAAACACTTCTTTCCAGAAGCAAGCTCTGGTTGCTATGGAAGCTAAAAATCAAAACTCCACTTACAGCACATAGGGTGATTTTCTGCCAGTAATTACAAGAACTGTACTTATGTGAGCTCCCTTATCTATCTTCACAAATAACAAACTGCACATGATGTTTTGAATTGACCTAAATAACTGGAGGGGAAAAAAAATAAAACACTAATCCATGCTCAACATTTTCTCCTCCACACAAAGTACACCATCACAGAATTTAAAAGAAAACCTTTCAGCCCTGAGTGAAAAATTAATAAAAATGAGTGTTACAATATACAAAGAGCATTGTGACTTTACAGTTCCTTCTAAGGCACTTAAACTTTAACACCACACAAATCAGAAGTAAATGTAAAAGTTAGAATGGCTGAGCTGAAGTGCCTTTTGCTGCAAACATGTAAAAGCGTAAATGGAAGACCCATTACCTCAATCCTACGCCAGGAACTATAAATAACATTCCAAATGCTGAAGAGCCTTTTTTTTTATTTTTTTCCCCCTTCTACAAGACTCTCCAAATCGCACAGGACTTACTGAAGCGCATGAGCCCTGCGCAAAGGGCTGACCTGACTGTTCCAGTCCCAAGAAGCCTAGAAGCTCCACTGGGAAGAATCTTGTTATAAATGTATGTGATAAATCACCTTCATGTCTGCAGAAATTAAAACAGTGATAAAGGATCTTCACCTTATTACATATAATGGGGAAAGGGAGGAAGATACTAAAAATTCAGCACCATTTTCCTCCTCATTAACTTTTTAATTTCAAAAAAGTAATTAGTAATGTGGTATTATTGTTGTTCATTATATTCCCACTGACTGAAGCATTTTCATGTTGGTTCAACTGAAAGTTCAACCATCACTTTCCGATTCTTTGATAAGTTTAAATATAGCAAAACACAGGCAAGGTAGCTTAGTCAGAAACCGAAGTTGATCTGAATTGCCTCAGAAATACATTCTGAAATTCATCAGCTTCCACACAGATCTCAACAACTGCTAAAGTTTCCCCACCTTGACTTCTTCCTGGACTGATACCTTTGCACATGCTGTATGGATGACCCTTCCTTGCCCATTATACAGTAAGATCTAACATAACCTACGGCAGAAGTTGCTGAGCAAGAGCTGGCTGAACCCAAATGTGAGAATATTTACAGACCAATGGCATCTATTTCAAGAACTGAGGTTTGACAGGCAATTTGGGAAAGACTGCCTGTAAAGCTGCCTGTACTAGTTCTTGGGGCACCCTCAATACATACAAGTTATCCAAACCAAACAGTTCAAGTGGAAATTCTGCATCAGGTTCAAAAGTGGTCACTGGGAAAAAAAAAAATCTGCAATGGAGTCTACAGAAAAGCAGCTTTCCCTGCAGTGGGAATACCTTAACTAGCGAGGACTTTTCTCCAGGGCATGAGACTTTTTAGGGTGCTTGAGAGATGCCCCCATTAAGTGCCTAAGGAGCAAGTGATAAGTCTTCCCCTTCTAGAAGATAAAATAAGATGACAATAAACAGTATATGCCCCTTCTGCCCACTGCAAACACTAAAGAAACTCTTTTTCATTCCAAGTACCCAGGTAATAAGGCACAAAGGTATAAGAAACTAATAATGAAAAGATAGGCAATGTACAAATATACTGAGAAGTAATAAAAAAGAAAAAGGAAAAAAAAAGTGTGGCATATTTGCATTTAGCAACAGAAGATCTCAGATTCAGTTCTTTCTGCATGTGAGAGATGCTAACACACCCATCCACGGACCTTAAGTTGCTCATCCACAACCCTCGTGACTTCTCCAGCCATGGATTCAAGTGTCTGTTGGATTGGATTGGAGAGCGAACCATTCGCTCCTGCCCACGATGCTCCACCGAGGTGATACAGATTTGGTAAGAGCTGTAAGACAGAAAGAATATCTTCGGAAAGGAGGCTCACCACTACCTGCCTTCCAATCCGGACAAACAGGAGGAAATCTCTCTGCTAAATCAAAGTGTTTATAAATTATTTTGTCACTTTAAACACTACCTACAGCTGATCCTCCAAAAAAAATACTCTTTTGTGTTATTTTAACTCCCCCAAACCAGAAAAGCTGCAAGCACGCACTGAGCTGCTCTCTGTTTTAGCAGTATGCTGGGAAAGGCTTACTGTTTTGGAGTTCTTAGCATCCCGCATAAGGCGTTCTGCGGATTTGACATCTTCCTGTACAGCATCCACACCACAGTTCCTTAAAGAGTTGAGATGATCTTGCACTTTTACACATATTCTGTCAATCATCTACTTGAACAAGAGAAGTAGAAAGATAAAACATCAGAATGTTGGTCAAACACGAACTGAATTCAGTCCAGGTAGCAAATCAATAGCTGCAAGATGAGATTTGTAGAGGCGATGTAACAATCTGGAGATGCACGAGCTTGGAAGTATAATCAATGCTACTACTGAAGGAAAGCATTATAGCTTAGAAAGGCAGACCTGAACACTGGAAAATAAACAAAACTTGGCATGTTTTGCCTCTCCACCCCCAGTTACCTCCAGGATAACTGCAAATAACCAACACGTTACCCAGTCCACGTGTTGTTCTGGTTTTTGGAGCACGTTTAATGCTGAAAGCGTTGTTGATGTATCTAATGCTGATCGCTGAAGGTCCCTGAATCGTTAAGAAGTTCAGACAGTAAAAGAAAGCTCTGTCACTACCCATTCAACAAACACCAACAGAGATTTCTCCTGTCAAAGCAAAACACAACTGCGCAGGCTTCTGGGGTAATTCTTTGAAAACGTAAATATTCCTCGTTGCAAGGGAACTAAAAGGACCCAAGCAGAAGCTTCCATCAGACCTTTCACAGCGGGATAACCTGAACTTAATCTGTATCTGCAACGCAGCTCATTCAGCGTGCTGCAAACACAGGGCAGGTGGTAGATCTGTATCCTTACAAGACAGACCACTAAGAATGCCTGACATGTAGTCAAGTTTTGATTAAGATATGCGGGGCAGGGAGATCTGACAGTTAAAAGTCTTTATCAGCCCACAGAGCATTCCTTAGAACGGGCTATTTGACATTTCGAAGTAACATCTGAGTGCACGTGTCATCATCACATCAAGCCTAGAGTTCGAGCATCTTATATCATTAGCAACGAGAACTGAGACAATTTCACAGCACGCTCCTTTTCTGCTCCACATGACTCTTCCTCTTCAAAGGGTTTTGGGTGGTTTCTTTTGTATATGTACAAAAAGCTAATTAATTATTAGACAGCGGAAAGCCTCACTGGGACATCTGGACTTAAAAATAAAAATACATGCTGGGAATAATAATGCAGTTCCACCATACTAACTACAGAATCTTTTCCGGCTCTCTCTCAAAACTCTATTTAAAACCCATCCTTACTGTACACAATTTAATACAGAAAAGGAGTAATTTTACTCTACTTTCAAAATAACAATAAATTACATTTACTGAAACCTGATGAGTGTGTGGTTGTTGGAGAAAAGCACAACTAAAACCACCAAGCTATAAAAAGAGCTTAATTCATATGGAGATTATCAACTTGGGGAAAAAAGGTGGCATTGGAACAGGTAAATTACTAAAATAAAATAAAGTGATGCTGCTCTTGCAGGTTTTAGTACCACTACATCGCCACATACCATTTTCTCTGTCGAGAGGTTAGAGTTTAATTTCAGGTTCTAGCAACAAAACTCTGTCCCATTAAATTTTAATAGCACAGAAAAAGGCCACTTGGAATTAAGATTCACCAAAAAAAAAATAAAATGCAGAGAACAGAGAGAAATTTCATTGACTTGGCTGAAGGGCAAAACAGATACTCCTCCTCCTGTTTGCTGGAGTCCCCCATTTGCACGGGAACACAACTGGTGCAAAGAAACACGGAAGGAAATTTAAACCAAAGGCCGGGACAAGTTTTATTCTGCTTACACCACCCTGCCTCTGCGGTGTACTGGAGCCAAAACCAGCCCTGAGGGGTACTGGCAAGATACTGCACTAGGACAGAGAGAATGGAAAGCGACCACAGAGCGCGCTTGTAGTCCTCTGAAGAGAAAGGAAAGAAAACCAAAACCAAACCAGAACAACATGTGGCATTTAGGAAACCTGGTAGTGGTTGACAAATGGCAAAATCTTCCCAGCTTCAAGCAGTATTTTGGGCTGGGTGAGGCAGGAAGCCCTTTTGACTGTCCAGACTGTAACGAGCACGGAAGACTTCTACCTTCCTTTGCCCCCTCCCTCCCTCTAAGCAAAGCTTCCCACGATCCCCCCCCAGTTCTGACGGTGTGAGGCGGATGCTGACTTACCCTCCAAGGCTGGTTGCTCTGGTGGTACCTAAGGCACGTTCACATGGTTGCTCAGGGCTAGGCAGAGAGACCAGAACGGACCCAGAGCCCAGAACTAGCACAGCCTGACGAGGACGCTTGTCACACTGCTGAAAAGTCACGTCCCCGAGCACGAATGAACGGAACTGTTCCTGGTTCCAACAGTAGTTCACTCAGAAACAGCTCGGGTCTTTCTCCACACAGTACCACTCTACGTAACACCTCCCTCACACAAATGCTTTTTTTCCTTCCAAAAATATTATCACTGATAATCATTATTTCCCGGGAAACTAAGTGTCGCCCACAAGGTACATCTTGCTTTAAGCTGCTCTGACAGAATGAGGGAGAACTCTGTCCCCAGGCCAATCTTAGACACCGAGAAGCACCAGTAAGGAACAAGTTCTCACCTGCTGAGTGGTACTGGTGACAATGCCTTGCTGCAGCCGGTACGCTTGCTCCTGTAAGTACTTTCTGGTCTCGTGATTACGAAGCAGGTAGTTTTCTATCTAAAAAACAAAGCCAGATTAGGAAACCGATTGGACTCTCCACCTTGCAATTCGCTTTCAATTTTGCTGTTGTATCGGAAATGGGGACTGACAGGAAAAACTGCCTCAGTATTTGTTACCTGCAAACCTTATTCTGAGTGTCTCAATGCTTAATAATCACATTGGCCAACATCTATTTGCTCACAGACTAGTGAAACATCATTAAATGTTGTGCTTTTGCCAGTGTCTTCTGAATTAGTCTTCTATTTCGAACAATTTAGGGAGTTACGCTGACAAAAGGGTAGATCTGGGTTTGAGAAATATTTGAAGGGACTCTATCCGTAAAGTGTGGCCGTAGAGACCACAATGCCACAAGATTAGTCGATTCATTTCTTTTAGATGCATTCGGCCCGCTGCAAAGACACAGATTTAAAGAGCAGTATGGTCTGGAGAGGAGATAAAATAACTGAAAGTGCCTGATTGATGCAGGAGCCTCGGTTCAAAAGTTCCTTAAGGCTAAGCACTACATAAGTCAAGTGATTCCTACGCACAGCTGCTGGTCACAGCCCACCACAACTGTCACCAGCAGCAGACACCTACCATCGGCCACCTTAATGGCACCTACAGGAGCCCCCGAACCTGGCTCTATCAAACCTAGTCAAGTCAAAAACCCCTACTAGTGAACAGTTCAAGGTTCATCAAAGGTGATGGAACCAGTCTCAGAGGAAGAGAGGGGAAAAGGATGGGTGGAGTGGCCAGCAGGTTGTGAGGCAGGGACTGACAGGGACCGAGGGTCACCTCGAAACCTGCATCAGCAGCAAGAACTGGAAAGTCCGACCATGCCCCACAGTAACGCAGGGTTTGTCCGGTTTGCCCAGTGCTGCAGAGATACCGGAGCCCGGGAGGTTACTTAGCTACTACGTCCATCTGGTGCGGGACCAGGGCCAGGAGCACTCTCAAGCTGTGGTGTGCTGAAGCTTAGGGACCCTCCTGAGATGTCTGTCAGTCAGTCCAGGTGTCTCTGCACCAGGCATGACAGCTCAGCCCGCGCGGGCAGGCATTCCTACGTGCACGGGATTAGCTGCGGTCCCGAGACCGGTACCTTTTTTTTTGGAAAGAACTTCCTCGTGTTGTGTAAAGAAAGCCTGAACCACACATGTTAAAACAAACTCAGGGCCAGTTTTAGCAACACTGAAACGAATAAAAGAAAATGCTCTTTGTACATAATGCCTCATGAACACAAAGAATTTAAATCCCAGGGCCAGAAGCTTCACAATATTTTTTTCAGATGCATCTATCATTCTAGATATGAACCTATCTTCAATTATATTAAACAAGATGTAAGAAATACGTCCATCCCCCACGATTCAGATTTTTATAAGCAGAATTTAGATCTTTTTCACGCATCAAAGAAAAAGGCACTAACTACCGGCACTTTTCCCTGTGAGAATCGCTTTACTGAAAATTTCTTTACTAATAAGGATCATAGACATTTGCTTTTTAATCACAAGTTATCTGCAAGAACTATTTATTAGGTTTTTATGACCTTACCCTGGCTGAAGGAAAACTACTCATCAAAGAGATGTGAACTTTCTGACTGAGCAGGAGGCTCATTTGGAGCTCACAAGATTTACTATATTAAACTCAGCTGGGAGTTTTATAACTCATGCAACTGGAACAGCCACGGATACTGTCAGCACCTCTTCATCCAAAAGAACATGTTGGTGCAGTTATTTATTTAGGGCAACACAGTGTCTGAATTTATATGTACAACGTAAAATGCAGGCAGTAAATAGTCTTTATCCTCCCCCAAATTTAGGAGCATCTTTGTCTTGTACAGCGCCGACTGCGCTTTTCATGCCATTTACCAATTATTCCACGCACAGGGAAACACACACAAGCACGTATGTAAGGAACGGGCCAGTTTCTAACTCTCCCTTTCACAGCACACAGCAACACGAGGTCTAGCTGGCGCTTCTTTAGCTATGGCTCTTTGACACTACACCACTGCGCTCCATCAGGCTTCACCCCAACCATTCTTTGGGATAAAAAGCCTTACATGCTCTTGCAGGACTTCATTACCACGTATATGTCCACACAAACCAAACAATCAATGAATCTAGCCTGGAATTCTTCCTCGGCCAAGCATGAAATCACAGCCACTCGAAATGACTACTTTATTTTTAGGGGTTTTATTGCTCTATGTTGGTGGTATATGCAATACCTTTTGCAGCGCCTCTTCTGTTTTCTCAGGGTTTGTTTTGAGTGCTTGGGAGGCATCATTCATCGGTATAGGCATGAACCTCAAAGTATAATTCCTAAAGAAAAAGAAAAGAAAATATTTTTTAATAGTAAAAGTTAACCCGAGGACTGTATCTCTCAGAACAAACTAGAAGGGAGAAATAAGATGCAGCTAGCTTGCCTGTGGAAGGTACTAAGAAGGTATTTTTCACATTTGTGAGCAGACTAACTGGGGCAGGCACGCTCCTTTTCGCTGCTAATTCTTCTTTGCCACCAGACAGAGGTGGAGGTTTTGAAAAGCACAAAATGCAGTTAAGTGGCCAGTGCCCAGCAGCTGTCAGTTAAAGGCCTGGCTGTCCCCTGTACCCCTGCGCAGGAGGCTGGGTTACTTTTCCCAAAAAAAAAGGGAGTGTCAGTGCCTGCTGGCAATACTATCAGATCTACGTCTAAATGGAAATATTCAGTAACAGACAGATAGCAACTAAGAGACTGAGTTCTGAAAATTTACTATTTAATCACTTCTTGTGTTTACAACAATTTGGAGATACTTGCTGAATTTTTAATAAAAGCTGACAAAACGAGCATAGCATCTCTTTGCTTCACACAAACAATCGCTCCCTGCATTTTACTTGTTGGTTTGTAGCTTTGTCCATCTGCTGCGACACGAGAATAAAGATAGGGTTTTGGGCTCGAGTCAAAATCGTATTTAAAATAAATGGGCCAGCATGACACAGTTAAACCTAAAACGCTGCAGGCAGTAGCATGCCCACACACCTTCAGATCTGAATAAAGGAAAACAAAAAGAGCAGGAAATTCTTACAACCTGGAAAGAAAATTATTCTTCTTATTTTCAATTAGCCTTAATTTCCTGCAAACATCCCTTCCTCCTCCTCCTCTGGCTGGCTGCAAACGTCCCACTAACAGTCTGCTCCTGTTCCATCCAGAGCTACATAAACACGGTTGGAAACCTGTTTTTGAGCACTTTAAAGCTGACAATTTCAGCTGAGTCAACGCCACCGACTTCAACGGACCCACTGAACACACTAACCCCAACGGCAGCACCTTGACTGTTGCGGAACTCCGAGGTTCTTGCACTGCCACCAGTGGCTCAGCCGCATGAAACGCCACCCTGTGAAGGACAGCAGCCTTCTGAACCGCCAAACGCACCGATTCCCCGATATTTTACGTTAAATGAGAACGGAAGACTGCCTTGTTCCTTCCACAATGTAAACACGGCGACGTATAGTTGTCAGTGGCAGGCAGTTACCCACGTGGAGTCTGCAAGGTCTCTGTCCTTCCCCAGTGTCCAACTGCATCACAGCCAGAAAATTAACTTTTCTTTCTAGCTGTCTTGTCCTTCAAAAGAACTGCGCAAACTCTACAGACCCCGTTACGTGTCCTCATGTAAAGCTAAACAGCGAATACCTGGCTACCCACCAGCGTGGGGGGAAGATTTTTAAATGTTAAAGACAGCGAGCTGAAAGACAGATGGTAAGTACAGAACTTGCTGGTTGCCTGACTACTACCTGGCAGGTGGGGTATTTATTTAGTTAAGAAGCAGCAAAGGTACATCTCCAAGGATCTCTGCAGCTGTTTGACATTTAATACACCCCGTTCATGGAAATCTCTAATTGCCAGCTCTCATGCCAGTAATTATATACTAAATTCAATTTAGTCAAAGGCTTAGGGCACGCTCCCTCACACGCACAGACACACCCCCAGAGGAAGGGGGGGAAATGAAAGGCAAGGAGATTTCACGGACACACAGTCAGAGGCTGAACTTTAGAAGACCGCTGCCCTACGGAAGGCTCTGTACTTGGTTGCCTTCCAGACAGACAGCATTGTATCAGAATGCTACTCTGTTTTCATCTACGAACTAACCAGCTCTTAGGGGCAAGAAAATCAAGAATTTAAAGCTCGCTTTTCAACTTTGATCATCAGAGCAATATTTATCTTCACACTTCATTTTTCTCTGTTTCCTTTGAAGTCTAAAACACTCCTCCATTCTCCTTTTTATTAGCACTCCACTTGTCTCTTGTAACGGAATACATTTCTCCATCAACTCAATAATCCAGTAATTTCATAACACATTAATACTCTCAGCAAAATACCTATATTTAAAGGACGTTAACCATCTTCAGATTACTTCTGCCTGTTTCAAAGCCTGCTACAATCCCTCCCAATTCTCCTCAGCCTCCTCCTCATACTACGAAAGCCCAGCTTTCTTCTTTTTGTGGTTCCGTAGATGACTTTTTGTCTTTAGAACAAAATCAAAACAACACACACAACACACATACCCCCAAGCATCTTCGGTATATTTCATTCAACAATTCTCTCCAACAGAGTATTGACAGTTTCATGTATTTTTAGGAAACATATGGTGGAGGATGTTCTCAATACGTCTTCGAGACGGATTGTTTAAAGGCTAATTGTTTTCAGCCAGTACTGACAGTCCCTCTCCTGCAAGTTTAAACCATTGTTTCTTGTGGCTTAGTTTGTGATATTATTAATGGTTTTAACAATTTTAAAACGTTAAAGGAGACATAAAATGACCTCAGCTTCCAAGCTAAATAAATGAGATGTCACCTCAACAAAGTGCACTGTCACACCATTATCTGTAGCATTTCTATTTTTTCTGCCTAGATGACTTGCTTCTGCCTTAGGATTTCCCCTTCTGTCTATTTAGTTATCCAAGCACTTCAGAACAGATAAGCCAAGCTCAGAACAGATAAGCCAAGTTGATGCTATCCAGAAAATAAGTGTATTGTACTTTCTACCAGACTTTCTCATAAATGTTCATGCGATTGCTCCCTAAAAGAGAAATGTCTGCAAGTTGACAAATAACCTTTGCAAATTATTATTCACTACTATCAACGGAATCACTCCAAGATGATTTGCTTAATTATACATCATTTATATAATTTCTCCCATCAGTGCAACTGTATTGATTTTGAAACCAAGTATATAAAGTACAACAGTTTCATAAAACAAGTAACTTTATAAGCTCTAGCCTTATGACCCCTCCAAGGGTTAAGATGCTCCCCTAAGCAGGTACATAGTTTTGCAAGGCATCTTGGCTAGAAACTAGCAATTGGGCATTACCTTCACCTTCTAAAGAGAGCCTTTGTTCTGTCTGAGGGATTTAATGACGTGAAACAACTGCAACTGCTGCTTAATTTAAAGCTCTAATTTTCCCCTCTTAAGAAAAGTAATAATAACATATGAAGAAGTGTGATGGAGATGGAGAGAGATGAAAGTTATTTAGCATCTATCACTGGTAACATCTGCCAACTGTGAGTAAGCTCAGGGAAGCAAAATGACCCAGACCACAGCTATTACAATGAACAACTGCAGTTCCCGAGATCATCACTATTAGTTTCAACTTGCCAGGGGAATGAAAAGAAAGTCAGACCACAAAGGCATGCTTCAGTAATTTTCTGTTATTATGTACAGCTTCATTCACTGACTAGAGGAGAATTTCTGCACGCTATCAACACAAGAGAATAAGGGAAAATATTCTCAAATTCAGAATTTTAATGCTAACAGCAGAACTCAATGGCCTTAATGCTAATAGCAGAGTATGGATGAAAAGAGCCACAGAGCCTTTTCCCATCCTTTTGAAGGACGCGAAGTCATAAATTTTCCTTTAGATTAAGCACCCTGATGCTTAAAATTGAGAGCCCTCAGCATCTTCAGACCATATAGACTGCGGTGAGAACTGCAGCTGCTCGCATCATTCAGGATCCAAGTCTTTGGTCCCTTCCTCACTCATTCAGTTGCTTGAGAACTTACTTTTCCAGTGCCACAGCTATGTCCTGGAAGCCCTGTGCAGTGATGTTATTCTTGTCCCATATTACAGTTCTGAGAGGAGGCAGGGAGAGGAAAGATTAAAAAAAAAAAAAAAAAAAAAAAGTTAAACAAGAACCACTGAATAAATCTGTACTGAAACTTTGCACAGTGAAATAACGCAGTGCTGGATGTTCAAAATCATATAGTGGGAGGCAACGTTTTATAAACCTGACTTTAGTTATATGCTAAAACCTTGAAATGTCAGAAGCAGGGACAAAGATACTACAAAATTCAGTTTCCCTTTCTACAAAGGGGGCCGCATACTAACTCCCATCACTAACGTAAAAACGTAACTTTTCTAAAATACAGTTAAAAGAAAGGTTTGGAGATAAAACTCCAGCTTTTTCCAGGAAGAGCACCAAAAATAAAGTTCAAGTGTCTGCTTTTTGCAAGGCCACACTGAAAACCAAGAAAATTCCAGTAAGCGACCCATCTCTGTTCTGCACAGGCGACATGCCTACGGTTACAGAGAAAGGCATTTAAAAACATCATGCTGATTGGTGGTCAAAATTTGCAGGCTATTGTATATTCAACGCTGTACCAGCTCATCACACGGTTCCTACGATTCCACATGCAACACAACTAGCTGCCAACACAAGCCATGAGGTTAGGTGCAGGAATTGTAGCTCTTTTGAATACGCAATAGTGGTAAGAGCGATCCAGCCTTCCTCCTCCTCCTCCCCCAGCGCAGACCACTCAAGCAGACTGCCTGGCAATTCGCGAACACATGCTCAAAGATCTCATTAGTAGTCAGAAGAGACAGTCAAGCGGATAAATCTTGCTTGTGCAACAGCACTAGTTGTAGCTGTTCTTAAAAAAAAAAAGGCACAAACACAAAGATTTCTGGTGTTGGGGGGAAAAAAAAAAAAGATAGATGGCAGGGGTTCACAGGTACTGACACCCTTCTGCTGTTGCGGAATTATCCCTTCGGTTTTTAGATGGGAAGACGGAGGGAAGGAAGAGAGATTCTACACCCACTCTGCAAAGATATGCTTAGGGTCAAATCTCGGATATTTTTGTCATTGGAAAGTGTGTTTGTATTTCTATCCGGATGTGACTTTCTAACATTTAAGCGGAGCCAGTCAGCATTGCATTATTCAGTTTGTAATCACACCACAGACTGTGGTGACATTATGTCAACTCTACCATTCAGTGTACTGTGAAAACATTGCGGTTTGCCATCCTGAAAGCTGTCAAGGCTTTATTTCTTCAGGTACTGCGGTCATTCCAGGTTAATACATTCCATAAACCTAAGCCAGCCCTCCGACGTTTTCTTGATGTTTTCATTTTGGGCACAGCAACACAAAGACCAGGATCCCTGCTTCAGCCAGGACTGTTCTGGGGAGTTTCTTCTCTTCCAGGGAACAAATGCTTGGAGACCAAGCACAAAGTGGTCTTTTCACACAGACAATACCCTGAGGAAGGCTCATCTGCACCGTCTGACAAGAGGAGCGAGGATTAGCTTTCCTGATGACGGTGACATATTTAGAGGTCCCCATCCAGATTCACGCTGATTGAAGGTTTCACTGTTTGCTGATCACATGCTGGATAGAAAAAAAAGCGATACTCTCACGCCATCGGTGCCAGCCATGTGCTAAAAAGCAGTGAAGCTGTCAGGAGGATGAAGTTGAAGAGGAGAGATGCCAAGGGCCATCAGCACTGTAGGCAGGGGAGAGGGGAAGGAGGGATGGTCCACGCTGCCACCCATTCCGAATTCCACATGCTCTTAGTTCTCCTACAAACTGACACTCCAGAAGACAAAGAAGAATTTACTTTAGTTTCCCACCCAAGCATCAGAACTTTCTCTGCTGGGAAGGCCTCCAGTAGAAAAGACAGAGCGGCTGAGCACTGGAACAGAGACACGTTCCCAGAGACACTGTGGAATCCCTGTACCTGGAGATCTTCAAAACCTGCCTGGACAAGGCCCTGAGCAACCTCACACAGCTTTAAAGTTGGCCCTGCTTGGGAAGGACATTGGATTAGATGACATGCAGAGCTCTATGACAAGGTCATTTTTTTTCTATGATTCTAGGAAATTTAGAGCGCTCTTGTTCCAACAAGAGGTCCTTCTGGTTTAATTTAGAAAATATAATTTTCTCCAGTTTCAGCTATGGAAATGTTTTTGCAGAGACAATTTGCTTCTCTCTGTTGTTTTTTTTTTTTGTTTGTTTGTTGTTGTTTGTTCGGTTTTGTTTTTAAGAAAAAAGGATGAGAATCTTTTGAAATGGCGACACTATAAAGTGGCTGTACCTGGAAGAGTTCTGAAGAGAAACAGCTTGAGAGTAAGCCAACAACTTCAGTATTATTAAGCCATTCTGTATTTTACTGCAAACATGTTTCCCTTACCTGAGCTTGGTGTTTATCTGCAGGGCTTTTGCCAGCATCTTTGCTCCCATATCTCCCATGGCATTTCCACTAATATCCACTTTTGTTAGAGAAGTATTGCTGCCCAAGGCATTAATAATGATGGTGACCTCAGTCTTCAGCTTGGAATCTGCGAGGGACAATGACTGCAGAGGCTGTGGAGCACAGAAAAGGCACTGATAACAGCAACCGGCAACGCGCTCGTTCCTCAAACATCAACCAAAAGAAGTTACGAGTTCCCCAAACTCTTGGAGACAGCAGTAAGCATCAAAGAGTGATTTCTGTGTTTGCTGCAGATCCCACAGCACGTGATAAACTGGGAGGCAACGACTTACAGCACAAGTGTCAAACACATACACACACACACTGATTAAGTTGCAACACCCTGAAAAAAACCAACATTTTTAAGTGACAGTGCCTCCAACCTCCCATGTCCTATTAAGTACAGAACACCTCCGAAAAGAGGTAAGACAGCAAGAACCAGCTTCCCAAGACAACCTCTGGTGTCCAGTGGGTTTTGCTTGACCAGCATGCTTCCCTGTCAGTGAGAAATAAAAATACCTAGCGCTCCCCTCCTCTCCCTCAGACTGAGAGCTTTATCCAAGGGCAAATTAGGATCTGAGACATTGTTAAAACAAAACCAATTTCTTAAAACTGTTTTATTATTGTTACTTCAACTTTAGGAGCGATTTTGTTAGGACCCCAACCCTAACTAGCTGTTGGGCATGGACATTTGGGAGGAAAGAGACGGAAAACTGTAGCAGGTCTGAAAATAAAACCAGTAAGAAGAGTGTCTATCAAATTGAGTAAGTCAATGGATATTATTCACAGCGGTGTTCTGACACGTGTGATTGCAATACCTTTATGCAACCTTTTTTTATACAGACTATGTTAAGCTGAAACTGCTTTAGTGGGCTCCAGCAGGTCACACTCTAACCCTTAACAAAACCTCTTTTAAAAATGCCTGTATTCCCTCCTTTCTCTGTCTCAACACTCAGCAGCAGGAGCTCAAGAACTACAGTCTACGCCTTGCAGAGGTATTACAGCTGCCAAATTGTACTTTGTCTTTGCTGATGTACGAGAACTCCACCAAACATCTCCCTTGCTCAACTGTGAGTTCAGAGGAGTGTACTGTCACCAAACACCCACTCAGGCATGTCCTGGAGGATGAATTTTAGGAGCCTAAAATCTCCAAACGGCCAGTATGGGAAAATCAACATCTTGTAAGGATGAACCATGGCTCCTATGTCAGATTAATATAATTAAACCAACTGAACTGGGCGCACCTTCCAGGGTCCAAGCCGCTTGCACGGTACCTGCTATACGTTGGGACTGTAGCCTCCAGACACCACTGGATTACAGTGACAACCAAACAGCTTGCAACAGTAAGAAATGCACTTATAAATGAGGAAAGGCACAAAAATTCAGAGGCACAGCAGGTTTATAATTAAAAAGTCTAACAGTAACATAAGCCACATGCTGGTTTTATTTTAAATGGAAGTTATTAAATTACTATGTTAATCCCCTTAATCTGTCTGTGTTTCCCCGTTTTATTACACTATGTACCCTAAAGAATATTAGCATCGCATTAGAATGGCATTTGGAGCTCTTGGCACAAGTTTGAGAAGACCTCCTGCGACGGGCCCGCGGAAAAGCAGCGCCGCGCAGCACTCGGGACAAGAAAGCACCAACGAGCTTGAGAAAGTGAAGTTTCTTCTGTTTCTCAGGCGTCCCTTCAGAAAGGGTCACTCAAGTAACTCAGCTGGAAGTGCTCCCTCCCACACACCAGTTTTTCTAAATCTCAAACGTCCTCCCCGGAAAGGACTTCTCGTCTCTGGCGTGCCAGTACGCTGACAAAGCAGCCTAAGGCTGAAATTGCTTCTGCGCTGTGTTCTGCAAGGACTGACACCTATACAGCACTGCTACCACTTAAAAATACGTATATAGCACAGTAAAGCACCTGCTCTATTAGCAGTTTCTTTGCAGAGGATGATGAACTAGTTTTCTTGCTCAGCTACCCTTTATCATTCACTCAACGAGCAAGAAGCAAAATCCTCTGGACTCACTAGGTGCCCCGAATGCAAACTACAATCAGACCATAACTCTGTAGGATCAAACATACAGGCTGCTAAATCTTCATCAAATTATCTGACTATTACATTATAACAAACCAACCAACGAAAAACCCCACCAAAGCCAAGGCCCCCACAAACAGGGTCAACACCCTACCCAGCCTACAAACATTTACTTCTTTTAATGACTTCATAGTTTCAGCTGGATATTGAGAAACCAGAAGTCTGAGAAGCACTTCAATGTCCCTGCCACAGAAAAGAGATGCTTTGCCAATACAGTGGAGACGTCTTAGCACAATCTCATTAAGGAAGAGAAATTCTTAAAGTAAGGAATAGAATTAGAAAGTGTATGACTATTCATTGATTTTGTCATATTCCT